CGCCCCCGCCCCTCTCTCAACTCAGTCAAACAATTCCAGCAGTTAAATGGCGCCAATGAATCGTAATAAACAGCAATGGGAAATTATACTCTACTAAATCACAAATTCAGTGATGAAGGCAACAATATGAAGTATTTCATATTTCCTTTTTAAATTTTGTACAACTTTCCCTTAGCTTATTTAAATTTATATTCTATAACCAATTTCTAAAATAAAAATAAAATAAATTTTATCATTAACAAAAATATAGTTATTTTATATTTAGATATTGGAAAATTATTTGCTGTTTGAGACTACAAAAACAATCTTGTTCACAGTTGCACAAATCTAAAATGATTACTATTTTATATTAGTAATCTTGTAAACATAGATAATATCAAAAATCTACTACTTCTACTACTATTGCTATTAATCTACTACTATTTTGCATTCTAAACACTAAGCTCCCTTTCAAAATCTCTGGTAACTAATATTACTTGAAAAAAATAAAAATAACGATAACAATTCATAAATTCAAGGACTACCATTTTATACGTCAATTTCCCATTAGTAAAAGGTAAATAATATTACTAACCTTTACTCCTATTTTTTAATCCAATTCAAAAATCTCACTGATATCACTGGTAACCAAAACAGTAATAATAATACTAATAACTCGTGTAAATTGGAGATTCCATATTTCCTCATGTACCATCATGTCCACCCTCTCCCCGCTAGGACCCACTCATCGGTATAGACAGCACGGTGGTGCGCGAAAACAGTCAGTGTTGGTTCAGGCGTTGGTTTTGCGGTGGGTTAAGGCTCGTTCACGCGTGAAACAAGGAGTCCTGGCCTGGGATCTTAACGCTCGGTTTGACAAACGTTCTCGTTGCTTGCATTAGCATATTGCGATTTACATTTCCCTGTATTATCGACCCCTAACCATTCACGTTGTTTTGTTCAGCCTCTGTATCTATCCGTTTCACTCTGCCCCCCTCCCTTTCTCTCCTGCTTTGAATTTCGTGTATTTCGCCTAAAGCAAATAAGAATAGACGAATTGCGCGAAATAAAGGACGTTATGATCTTGGTATAACACCGAGTTGATGGAAGAAGAGGCATGCGACGCAAACGATACCGAATGTCTATGACCGTCTATCCATAACCTGATTCAATTTAACTGAATCGGTTTATGGTTAATCTATGGCCGGGGAAAAGGCTAAATATTACGGGGAGAATCATTTGAAGAGTTATCGATGGAGAAATCAGGAGAAGTCAGTGTTTGGGAAATTGAAGAAAATTGAGATTACTGATATGGTGTTAAGATTTTATTTGCTTTCCTTTTTATTCTTTGTCGCTCAACTGAACCATCTTGCAGAACTGAGCTAATATTATCAGTGAAACTTTACTAACAATGCATAATAATAGCAAGTTTGGCAATAAAACAAATGAAATAATATATGCAAATTTTACAAATTAGAGGTTATATTCCACAAAATTGACAGTAAATAAGGTAGGAGTCTGTGCCAATGAGTTTGATAAATGATTTAATTGAATTGATGAAATTGAAAATAACACTTATCATTGATTTCTTATTAGACTTTGAAATTCTACTTCACTTATTCTTTCGTCACATTAGACCCTACACATATTTACTAATCGACTTCTAATTTCTTAATTAATAGTTTACAATGAAATTGAAAATTTACTATCGATGTTTGATTAAATCTGAAAATTCTATGAATTTCACTTCCTTCGCTCTCACTTCGCTTCTTACAATTCAATAATCAAATCGTAATTTATTAATTATTAGACCATATCAGCAAGCAAGAAAATTTTGTCAATAAAAACGAACAGTAAAACTGTCGCGCCCTCAATCGTGAAAGAATAGAACTCATGAAAGGAGGATGCGGAAACTATCGTAATACAAACACCCGTTGGCTGATCATCATACAATGTTGCAGCTGATTACGAGCAACCACGCGTGTCTGCACAGCAAATCACGCTTCTACACTCTCTATACACTCTGTCAATGGCATTCTTTTCCGTGAGTAGGTGGTTACAGAAGAGACCATAAGAATTACCGTGAATCCCGTACCAACGAAACAAGTATGTATTAGAGATACCAGAAAATGCTACTCCCGTGTAACAGGGAATTCGAGATAAGTGGCAATATTAAAATCGTGCTGCGAATCCATCTTGCGCCTGTGTACCTTCCGTTCGATTCGCTTTAGGGATCGCGATTCCGTTAGACTTCCTGCCGGCTAAAGGCCACTCGAGTGTTTCGGGGTCAATAGTCGAATTTCCTCGAGGGGAATTACTTTCTACGATGGTTTCTTTCTCTTTGTATGGCACTTAGAACCTTCGTGTGAAGTGGCATGCTTGTCTTATATCTATTGCTATCTGAAATATATGTAGTTTTGTCTCTTTTAATTTTGAGGTTATAATGTTTAAGTCCGATTACATTTCACATCTTGGAATTATTAGATAACAGAAATTCTTGCTTGTAAGCAATATTAAGTAATAATAATGAGTTTTACGTTATATTAATTTATTGCTACAGTCCTGATATAATAACAGATTCTAGATCTGATCCTAATCTTACCTTCTACGAATCACACTATTAATTTACAGTATTAGTACTAATAAAAAAACGTATCCAATTTCCAAATTATACGATACGTAATTAATAATATTTGGATTTATCCTAAAACAAGTGTCTATAATACATATTCAACAATCTACAAGACTATATTGAGCAATCGAAACCAGTCGTTCGCAAGTTCTACTCACCAAACACATCCTTCACTTCTAATCTACCTATACACCTCCAAAAAGAGCCAAATACGTATTACTTTCTGAGAAGACATAATTCATAAGTGGTTGAAGCGGAAACGAGCACTGGATTATCCCGTATAAATTCATCCGGCAATGGCCTGATAAAGAATGCGCCCGCCTATATATAACCTGTGCGAAACGATCACCGAAAGCCAAAGGCGGATCGTTGGGTCCGTTGGCGAAATGGATGAGAAAACAGTGGGCAGAGGGCGCCGCGTGCTCGTGGACAAACCACGACGGGAGGGGCCACGCGTGTGGGCGGCATGGCGGGTGTCGACGAAGGCATCGGAAGCGCGATTTATCGCGCGCGCACTCCGTGAAGAAAGAGTCGTTCTGCTGGTGGTCGTTAATTCTTGTCGCACGTGTCCCACTGCTTTGATCACGCGAGTATGCTAATTGCCGTCCGACGCCCACTCGCCGCCAAGGCATGGGACGTTGCAGAGAACCAACAGGAAGAAGAGGAAGAAGAAGAGGATGAAGGGCGGAAAAGAAGATCGAGGTACTGCAAAGAGGAAAAGGAAGAAGAAAAATTAGAGGAAGAGAAGAGACTTTGACTTGGTCGAGTGGATGGGTTTGCCGCTCTCCACCGGCATGTACACTCTGTTGGCACATGCGCGAGCTCCGGTCTCCAGACACCGAGACTACACGCCGAGAAGCGTGCATGGGATAATCGGGTTGTCTTGACTTCTTGTCGCAGATCCTCTTCGACACGTAGATTCATTTCAGGGAGGGGGCACCGAAAGAATACGCTGAATCGCTTTGATGGCTGGTTCTAGTATAAAGATGGATTTTTATAGAGGTGATTAGAATGAAGGCTTGAATAGAGAGCAGGGGTTGGCATAATAAATAGGAGGAATATTACATTTTACGTTGCTGCAGCAAGTTCGATATAGTTTGAGATTAGGAAAAGAATTATGGTAAATAAATCCTAATTCGTCGTGCTATTGTAAGTGTAGAGTATGTATAGAAAAATGAGTTTATTTTAAAGCAATTCGAGGTCGATGTACTTGTTAATGTGATTAGTTGGTATATTAAGATTGTTTTCATAAAGAAATTTAAGATAAAGAAAGAATTGAGTTTTACATGTACATGTATGTCTGGGAATTAAATGCTGGAAGGGATAACAGATTCCATTATCGAAAACGCTGTTTAAGTTTGAAGAGTAAATTACAGTAGATAAGACAGATTACAAATATCGTGTTAAAGTCACACCTGCAGAGACTTTATTCGAAAGCAAATTGTAAACTTTCGATAGAAACGTTTCAGAGAAATGAGATTCGATTACCGGAAACCGAACTTGATCAAATATCATAAAATAATCCAATTCCCAAAACCGTGTTTTATCCCCGAAACTCACAAATCTCGATATATCTAATTTCATAGAAACACGACTTGTAGAAAAACTTGTAGAAAAAGTACACAAAATTCAATAGTATACGTGATAGTTACACAATCTACACTTTCGAATACAATTCTTTCCCACAAAAACCTTCCATTTTGTATTGCAGCTTCTATGAAAACACGTAATATACCAAAGCGATTCTCAACAAGGAAACAAAGTATACCTGTGGTTTTCCAAGCAGCCGGTGAGAGCAGCGGTGCACGCGCCGCTTGCAGAAACGTTTCGTAAATTCGAGGAACGGCTGGAAAGAAGTGGCCGCGGCACAAAGCGTGCCGACACGACCGGGCCCGTTTGCCCCGCGGAGGTAATTGTCTTCTTGGCCGCACGAGAGCGCACGTATTCCGCGAGTAAATACACACCGAGAGGCTGGCTTACGTATAGCGTTCTCACGGGACGGAGAATAAATACCATGGCCCGGTCTGTTACCGACTTTTCGTTTCCTGGATACGGTCTGCTGGAACATTTCTCTCGATCGCGATCATCGATCCTCGATACAGGAATTATAGGTTATAGTGGACGGAAAGAATGTTTATAGCTCCTCTCTATGGATAAAATTACTACTAATAATAAAGAGAAACTTTTGAGTCATTATAAGTAAAACATACTATTTTAAGTACTTAAAAATGACATGAAATATCATAGAGATTTAGAGAAAATTATATAACCTACTATACAGATATAAAAAAAATTGCAATGTAAGTAATAAACAGAACATTATATAAAGATGATTGTTGAGGTTAGAAAGTTTGTTCGAAGCGACACGTGTCTATTTTTCTCTTCGATCCCCAGCACAGACCGTAGAACCCGTCGAAAATTTATCGAGCGCGGCTGTACAACTTCTTTTCATGATTATTCTCAGCATAACGTGCCACATCTCTCTTTGATCCTTCGTGACATATAAATCGGAAAGAACACACACCGCCGAATATTTATGATATTCGAACGAGCAATTCTTTTTTAACTTAAAGAAGACTTACCCTAATAAAACCTGAGTTTTAAAAAGCAGATAGTCTGTACGTATTGATTTGTTTTTTTTTCAGTAGATCGGAAAGATGAAATATAATTTAATTATTGAAATCTATTTATTTTATTTCTTCTTCTATACGTAAATTCTTATTCTGGAACACTTTATAGTACCAGCATCTCCTTTTAATTCGAGATCGACGATCATATAATCTTGATTAAATAGTTGAGTTTAAAACTTTGAAAAAGCGAATTAACCAACTGGGGTACAAGAACTAGGAAGAAGAATGTTATCTGTCCCTAATTTATCAGACGGACTTGTTATCCTTGAGATTCAAGTCTGACAGGCTTGTGATTTTTGTGTGGTGCGAACGAAAATTGAAAGTACGGTTTTCTAGTTGTGTACATTAACTTCACTATTTCCGTACGAGTTCGCTAAACGTTCTGTTATGTGTGTTTTTAAATAACGGCAGTTTCTAAAACAAGACGATGTTTGCTAGAATTACACATTTAATTCTTCAACACATTTCAGAATCCGAACCTTGTCCTAATTACTAAATTACCCTATTTAATATATTCGAGTACTCATATTATTTAACTAATTAGGTATACAAGAACCACAGACTGCAAATATGTATCAATATTGTACCAATACTCCAAACTACTTCGATTGAAGCACTCAACATGTTTAAGTGCTCAAAGTACTAAGTGGTCGAGTGTACAACGTCCAGGTACACAACTTTCCTCTTCCTGAAGAGAATTTTCTATTAATTTTAAATCAACAATATTAAAAGAATCTAACGTAAATATTGATCCAAACATACAATGGAGATGACTGTACAAACAGACAACAATTTATACGAATTTATAAAAATTTAGCTAATTACATTGTGAAATATTTTAGTTTCAATTTTTTCATAATAATATAGAACATAACAAAAATGAGTATTTTGTTTTCCGTAATATGAGACTTAAAAATTCTTTCTTTGTTATATTTTGCTTATAAATCTATATCTTAATTTCTTACATTACGCTCCCTAAAATATTATTATGAGTATTAAATACAAATGAAATTAATTTAAGTTTAGTATAAAGATTTCCCCTATTCGAACGTTCGCCACTGTAAAACATATCTTGGTACCAATCCTAACAAAAGTATTAAGTTCCGCTAGAACGAAACAAAAACGGGTCTGCGAAATAATTGTAAACAATTGCGAATCGAATAACACTTTTCAATATTGAATAGCTAATTGGATATCTATCGTGAAGCGATACGAGATGGGGTGGCTATCGAAGCCTCACCAATCGCGTGGAGTTAATTCGTGTTTGTGTGCGTGGCACACGATGCTGCATCATGCACCGCGATGCATAATAGCGCGCTGCATCAACAACGATGTTTACCTCGGCGTAATATACAAACAGATGTATCTCGACGCGGAGAGCTTTACTTGCCGCGGATCATTTTACACGGACGATATTTCCGCAAATTATCCTCACAGTATGCTGTTTCCCTCCCTCCGCTATCCCCTTTGGGAGAAACCATTCGATTTGGACTGCACGAGAGAGTAATAATTCTGTCCATTAAGCACCGACCACGTCTGTGATCTGATAGAAAATGTTTTATGGATCGCATGATGTACTTTTCACTAATGGTGTGACTAGTGACTCTTTTGTTTTTTAATAATTGTTTTTTTTTAGATGGAACGAAAATTGAGATGACAAATTTTAATGTCATGATCAAATGATACCGTACGTAGTTGTTTTGTTACGGTGATACGGATATCGTTTTTCGTTTATACACCGAGATATTTCTCTCTATGCCTTCTTATCGTATTACCGGTGCTCTTTGACAGCGGTGTATCGTGATGTTACGTATGTTTGTTATTGACATTTAATCCTTTTTCAACATAATAAAATGGGGAATTCAGGATGGACAATTGAGAAAATAATCGTGTCTTCGATTATCTATTGTCGTGTCTTCTATTATCGAATGTAGAAATTTAAAATATTAGGTGGTCCGAAAAATTTCTTTCGTTTTATAAGGAAATAATGGACGCACAACATTTTCTGTTTTATATTATTTTATCGAATTACGTGTGATCCATTTTGTTCTATCAAAATAAAGATCACAACGATCGATAGATTAGGGTTCATGTTTGTATAAAGATGCGTCGTTGTAAAAGACGTGTCTGTAAAAGAAAGACACTTTTCGGACAACCTAATACTATATTTGATGGGCCACAGTGTCAAAGAATTAAATATAGCATACCTTTTGTTTAACTTAAATTAACTTCAACAAATGCTTTTGAAGATAATTCTCTAAAGTTCACAGCATTCCGTACTGTAAAATCATTTTCTTAGAGACATTTTCTTACATTTTCTACATTTTCTTAGAGATTTAACTTTCTGTATTTTATGTCTATAAACTACTTTAATCTAATATTCACAACAGATACATAAACTAAATTTTTACAATAAAATCCAATTTTCTAAAATGTACATAATCAAAAACTTCATAATTCCTATATTTCCAAATTTAAGTCAGACCAAACTTTGCCCAATTTACCACAACAAACAAGTCTCGACTCTCCGCCTTCGACTAGGGAGAAACTTAAAATCTCTAGGCGACACGGTTCTATAGTCGTTTCTTCTTCTTTACGCAGGCCCTTTTCTCCACGAACAGAGTCGAATATACAGAAAACTGGCAAGATCAGACTGTTCTCGACATGCTTGCCGACTTTTTGGAAAAAGGAGAAGGCAGAGGAAAGGTAACCGACACAGAGAAGCGGCCAAGCAGGGAGGCGTAGACACGTTGGTTCACGGGCCATTGAGTCCTTGGAAACTCTGATTAGCTCTTTCGTTTCTTATTGGAAAACTTTCATTGCGCCACAACAAGAAGGGAGAAAATTCCATCTCGTTCCGTGACCGGCTCAATTTACCAGAAAATTCCTTATACTTCCTACCAATTACCCCAGATGTTTACCCGCTAAACTCGCTCTCCGTCTGTCTGATACTTTTTGGTTATCTCTCTTCGTATTGGGATTTTTCTGGTGACTCGGTATCTGTTGATTTAGGCCGCTTAAGGTGATTTATCTGAGTAAATTGTCATCGAAGAAAGTATAAGGACTTTGGGCTGAAAGGTTAAGGGATATTTTTCAAATCCTTGAAAATATATACAATAAGAAATACTATTCTGCAATTGAAAGATTACAGCTTATTCCATATTAATCGTACTGTATTGTGATATACGGTAAAAACGTCATAGTAAAAAATAAGTACTAAAATACATTATAGAATGCATGATGCTATGCTACACAAAATGTAATGTATAATGAATTTTGTGCATTTTAAGTTATGACTAAATCTTACCATAACCTTAAAAATGTAAGGTGATTATGTATGGTACAATGTTGACACATCCACCACGTAACGGTCATTGGTGACTGACGAGGTGTAAATGTCAAGTTCTGCGCCAGCTATCGGTGATTGTCGTGACAGTAAATGTGTTAACCTGTTAACCAGTGGAATCCGTCATCACTTGTATGTAGTAGACATAAGTGAAAATGAAAGAGATGATGTAAGAACAAGATAATTTACGCAGATAAATTGCTTTAATACAAATTAAAGTATTAGTATTTTCTTACTTCACATA